GACAATTATCCAAATTTAAAGATGAGTATAATTTATGATATAGCAAGTTAACATTTAGGAATCTACCATATGGACTTACCCTAAGGATGCAGTCACATTGGTACACTAAGATACAAGTACATGGATTTGTTTGTCTGTTTGGTGCATGTGGTGCTGGGGAGTGAAGCCAGGGGCCTTGCAGATGTTAGGTAAGAGCTCTACCACTGAGCTACACTTCTACACTCCACTATAGGGAAGCTTGTAGTTTAATTTAATAGCATTGTTTGACACAATAAATAAGAGTGGAAACAAAAGGGATTGATATAAAATTATAATATACTCATGAGAGAAAATATTACATATCTGTTAGAAAGAATGAGGAACACAAGTAGTTACATCCTACTGAAAAGTGAAAAAAGCAAGTTATAAACTTGAGCTAGAGAATGATCCCATTTTCCCCCTTCTTTATGCCCACAAGGAGAATTCTCAGCTTTTCCTTCTCATTCCTACTCTCCTACTTGCTACCATACTAGGCATATTTAACAGATTGACTGGGGACTAAGTCTTCCACCACAAAGATGAGGAGAAGCAGAAAGTATGGAAAGGTGGAGGAAGTGGACAGTTTTGAAGGGAAGAGTTATGAGGGTATGAGAATAGCTGGGTGAACAGTAAAAAGAAGGAGGGAAATAGGGGCTTTAAAGAAATAACAGTATATTATAAACACAACCATTGTTTATGCTCTTTGAGAGACTCTGAAAAATGTTAGAATTACTTTCTCTCTCTCTCTCCTCTCTCTCTCTCTTCTCTCTCTCTCTCTCTCTCTCTCTCTCTCTCTCTCTCTCTCTCTCCCAGGAAAAGATGGAAGATATATATAGTCATGTGGAGTTTTAGAATATATTCACACTGGCCATTCACAGAAAATTTCAGGAAAGAAACTTATAGCATTGGTTATTTTTAGGGAGTGGGAAAAAAGTCTGGATGAGAGTGATTTTTACCTTTATCTGGTATAGTTGCGTCTAAAAAGTCCCTCAAAGGCACAGGGGTTAAAGGCTTGGTCCTCAAGGTAACACTAAATAAGACAGTGGGACCTTGAACAGATGGTGCTTAGTGGGTAAACTCCTGGTATTGGGAGCATGTCCTTGAAGGGAACTATGGGGCACCTGCCCATTTCTCCTCCTCATTCACTCCAATGCCATGAGGTGAACTGCTATTTGCTCAGTCACAATCTCCCACCATGATGGTCTGCTTTGCCACACGCCTGAAACCAACAGGGCCAACTGATTATAGAATGAAACCTCGAAAACCCTAAGCCAAAATAAACCTTTTCACTTTATAAACCAGTGATTTTAGGCATTTGCTACTGTGTTATAAACTATCCTTTAGAAAATACCCTTCCCTAGAAGTTTCAACTATTCTCACAACAAAAATAAGCAGAATATGTGTGAACGTACTGAAAGTCCCTTACCCGAGAAAGCCTCTATATCTACTTAACCACTCTCCAGTTCCTAGAAAAGTCAAGTTTAATTAGTACTAAACCTAATATGCAACTTCATTTAAAACAACTTGTGCTCAGTTTTGCTTTTGTATTTCTGTCTCTCTCTTTTTGAAATTTACAGCATACCTTGGTGATATTATAGGGTGAGTAGATGTTCCTGAGCTGGTCTATGAACTCCCCATGATAGATAATACTATCTTTAGGAGGAAAATGACTTCCACATAGTAAACCATTTTTTGCCAAGCTTTAAAAACCTGAGCTATCTTATGATTAAGATTTGACTGACTTAAACTTTTATATAATAAAAGTTATTAAAACTTAAAATTATTTTCACTATGTTTAGTGTGTTTAACGTGAAAGGACATAGCAATACTTGTATACAACATTGGACACACACATACAGTGACTTTCAGAAGACATATTATCAGCTAATACTAAAGACTACACATTTCGTTGTACATGAATTATTTCCAACATGCTTTTTGAAACATAAAGAATTAAATTGTATCATAAAACTGAGTAAAATCCATTGAGTAAAAGTAAATGACAGAGTAGCAGGAAGGGTGCTGAGAGCAGTGATTTGGATAGAAATGGAATATGGACCCCATGTCCTTTAAGATCAGCAGCTAAACTTTAGCCAAGGTCGGAGTGACAAAGTGCTTGCTGGAGAATTGACCTCAATCTAGGTATTGGAAACAGTATATTAACATTGTAAAACTGTTAGAGCAGATGGCAATGTAGTCACCTCTTGGTAACCCGTGCCTAGCTAACAGTCCACGTCCTTGGTGAAAGTTGAGCAAAACACCCACTTGAACCAGCTGCAGGGAACCCATGGAGATGCTTGACAGCACATAATGTAAAGTCCCTCATGCACACAAGAGGGACAAACACCAGCTTCCAGCTTCCACATTCCTAGCTCACATTCTAAGACTGTTAGAGCATGTATAGGGCATCAAATGGTTGTGCACAATCCTCACTTTCATTTTTGCCTGAGTTAAAGGTAAAAGGACAAAATATGAGGGCACCTAATGCTCCTGTTTCTCTTTGTTGGTTCTGGATTGTTTATAGTCTTTTCCTTGTCCACAACTTTGTTAGCAAATGGTTCAACTCTCATTCATTTGAAGTGGATCAATGCAGCTCACTGCTTAGCAACTCCTTAACAAGCCCCAGGGAAGAGAAACTGGGGGAGGCTGGGAAATTTGTCACCAGCATAAGAACAAAGTTCACATTTACAGAGATAATGTGACCTGCCAAACACCAGAAAAAATATACCCAAACATTTTCCGAACATATGGGGTACGTATATTCTGGAGGACTGTGCCTCATCTATAAGAAAGACCTCTTTGACTCAAAAGTTGGTCAGTCAGACTGCCAGTTAATTAAGGGGTAAGTCGGTGCTTTGCAGAAGGCTTGCTAGGATACAAAAATAGGTGCAGAATGGGCATCCTTGAAGGTGTGTGGCCTTCTTTATGTAAGTGTGTACTGATTTAAAATTGCTGTGCTTCAGTGTGGTCTGAGCAAAACAGCCTGGACTCAAAAGGAAGGGAAGATGGGGCAGGAAGGGTCGGCAGCACTTGCCAGGAATGTGGGGCCAGCAGCTGCTGAGGCGGCCTGGAAGGAGGCCTTTCTGTCTGCAGCTCCTGGCTGGAGTCCATCCACTCTCCCAGCAGCAGTTTGGCTTCCTAGGCCAAGAGTTCAGAGAGTTAACGCCAACCATCCCCGATCTGCCTCACATTGCAACACCAAGGCTCTGAGAATGAAGCTTTATCTCTCTATTCAATTCATATTTTCTGAGAACCCACAAGATTCATCATACTGAATAGATATTTCACTGCTCATGGGAAAGTCTACAGTCTCAGCCCTCAAGGCAATCTCTTATAAGTTTGATTAAAGCTGACTCACAGTCTGGATTCCAAAGCTGTTCACCCACAAGGCAGTGAAGGAAACCACCTACAAAAATCTGAAAACTCCCTCAGGGTCATGCTGGTACCACGGCAAATGGTTCAGCTGGCTTATGACCTCTGCCGTTCACCTGGCTGATGGGGCCTTTGCCATCTTCAGGTTCCTCTCTTCCTGCCCCAACTCCTGGCCCAGGTCTGGCTTTCTGACCAAGTGCT